AAAAAAAAAAAAAAACTTTGCTTGCTGCAAGACCCCGAGAACTCGACGAAGCTTAAAAATTAGACAAACTGAAGCTCCAAAGTCTAAAGGGTCGGCGACTTGGAAACAACAACAAAATTCATGTCTCGTACTAGTTTTTAACAACTTCGTGGAAGCAATGGACCAACCTGACTATGTGAAATGTTAAAGATACCATGCTTATTAAATGATAATCGAATTCCACTCATACGTGACCCCAATATGTTTGCAATCCAAAAAAAATGCTTGCAATGCGACATAAGGCTTGTACTTTGATCCAATCATGAAAACGAGAAGCTAATCCAAGATTTTAAACCAAAGGATACCGAGTACTTCTCTTAGAGTCCTTGCATTAAAAAACATAACTTTTTAAGAAATTGTTTTAATATCTATGGATTAAGCAGAGAACTTACTCGGATTGAACATCGGAAGCAGAAACAGTGGGAGCAGTAGCTTTGGGAATGAAGTGGTGGAGGCTTGGAATTTGGTCCTTGCTGGGTAAGGAAGAGCGAGATTGACAGTTGGAGAAGTTTCTGGAAATCTTGAGAGAGAATGTCGAGCTCCTTCGAAGAGCGGCTGACGTGCGGCGGCAGGAGGAGGATTGATGTTGGTGAAGCTTAGAGGAGAGGAATCTGACGTGGAAGGAAGTGTACTGTTTGGGGAATTTGATGCGTATAGCGCAGTGAGGCTGGCTCAATATAGTCGATAGAGAAGATAGAGACGACGCCATTTTTGGTTGAGTTGGAGAGTGGTGTCTTTGTTGTGGTTGAACTAGTACAGCGTGGATAGGGCTACGAATGGCCACAACCAAACCGGCGAGCTGGGTTCGGCGGCTTTGGCTGTGCAAAAAGTCCAAACCGCTAATTTACATTCCTTCTAATGGGGAAAAGTGACAAAAATGATCACTTACGTTTGGGGTAATGTTTAAAATAACCTCTAAACTATATTTGTGATTAGTTTCGGGGAAATTGTGGAGATCGAGCATTAAGGTTGTAGGTTAGGGAAAATTGTGATGTCTTTTTTACAGCGCACTAGAGTGAGACTAGCTAGTTAGGAGTTAGTCTTAGGATGCTATTGATCAACCACTATGATGGGTTTTATCTGCTGTGTATTAATACCTTATATCTTTCTCGTATTTCCTATATCTCTTATATTGTTGTTACTTTGTTTTTTATGGCATTTATGTTATGTTATAGATTTCATGGTACTTTATGTTGTTTTATTATGAGTCTATTGATAGTACTAATATAGTGTCTTTTGTTGCCTCTTTGAGCTGAGGGTCTCCTGGAAACAGCCTTTCTACCTCTCGGGTAGAGGTAAGGTCTGCGTGCATATTACCCTCCCCAGACTCCACTTGTGGGATTACACTGGGTTGTTGTTGTTGTTGTTGTTGTTGAACTAGTACAGTGTGGATAGGGCTACGAATGGCCACAACCAAACCGGCGAGCTGGGTTCGGCGGCTTTGGCTGTGCAAAAAGTCCAAACCGCTAATTTTTCATTCCTTCTAATGGGGAAAAGTGACAAAAATGATCACTTACGTTTGGGGTAATGTTGGGGTAATGTTTAAAATAACCTCTAAACTATATTTGTGATTAGTTTCGGTCCTTTAAGTTTGTTAAAAATAAATATTTCTTATTTCTATAGAAAACTTAATAACTTTTTAGTTATTAAAAATTATGACGCCACACGCAAGGGTGGCTGAGTTAGTTGAGCAGGAGATCCTCCAAATAGGAGGTCACAAGTTCGAAACACCCTACATATTAATAAATAAATAAAATTGCGCCCCCAAAATATCAAACGTCGAACCTCTAAATATGAGTTCTCATTGAATTTTTTTTTTATTATTCTCGATAAGTCTAATAACAAATGTCCATTAAATATTGGAATCTTTACACAAACCATCATTCTTATTCACTATTCACCTTTTCTAATTGGTATATGTAGATTATACACTAATTATATTTGATGTTATTTTTAATTTAAGCAATTGAACGAGCTACTATTTAGGTTAAAAGTTGGATCATAGTGAAAGTTTCAATAAATATGTTGTTATGAAGTTGTACACAAGGCAACCATTTTAATTCTTCTTAAATATTTGACGAATAGAAATTTGGAAAACTACCAGCTATTTTTATTTATAAGTAGCTTATTATAAAAATTTGTCACCTCGTTAGATATTATTAACATTAGCCAACTATTATCAATATTAGTCAATTAGCTCATTGTAGCCAAAAAGGGGGTCAAAATTTTGCTTTCTTTTGAGTGGGTGTTATTAGAATAGATTGGGTACATTTTAAGGAGCTTGAATCTCAGTTTTAGGATGATTTGGTGAAGTTTTGTGGTGGTTTGAATTGAAAATTTGAAGTAGAAGATGAACATTAAAAAAAATATGTGTATCACAGAGTGTATCATTTATGTATCACGTATGTATTTTATTTATATCAAATATGTATCACATGTATATTGATGTATACATGTGTGTGAGATACATGCGCGATACATGTTTGATACATGTGTCGGAATTTTTTGAACTCAATTTTAACTACGAATTTTTACACCAAATCATCTTCAATCTTCCTCAAATTTTGTATATTGACTCATCTACATGTTTTCAATCAATTTTAACAATACTAATTGGAAAAAGTCCTTTTTTGCTTAGATTTTTGGAATCTTGTACATATATATTTTTTTTGTATTTTATCACCTTATTTGCTACCTCATCCATGAATTTTCCTTTCTATCTTACATCTAATGCTGCTAATCACACTTAAAAATATGGAAGAAGATCTTTGCGTATGATTCTCGAAGAGAAAGAATATTATTTATTTGGGTTTTTAATTTTTATGTGTTTGGCTAGTTTTGGTAAGTCTATGATTAATGGCTAGATATTGGTAAGTTGTGTCTTATTTGGGACATTTATGTAAGACTCCTCAACGAAAATGCTTGCATTGTTTTCAACTTCATAACAATATAGTTATTGAAACTTGGCCAAATATCTAGACGACCCTTAAACTTGGTTCCAGTTTCCATTTTGAAACCTTATCTTAGCCCATTACCTATTGAACACGCCAACTCAAATCAAAGTGTGCCTATTAAACACTTAAAACTAAGTCCCAAAAAATAAATGTGTGAAGCTCAAACGCCACTTGCGTGGAATTATAACCAATGAAAAAATGCCAGATCATTAAAACAAGCCACATCAGAAAAAAAAAAAAAAAAAGCCATGCTATTTT